TGTTGGGAATATGCCTAAATATCTTTAGAAGATTAAGTTAGTTTTTTATAAGAATATTTTATTTATATTTCAAATATTTAGATTTAATCTGTTCTGATTATTTTAAGATTTATTTCCTTATTTTAGAATAAGATAATATCAAATATATTTGATTTTTTATAACAAATTTTCTCTATAAATAGAGACTCATGAATAAAATTATATTATGCTCCTCTGATAAAAAATAAGTCTTATTATAAAATATCCTCTCAAACAAATATCATAAAATAACCAGAGCTGCAGGTTGGATTCGGTGACAACCAATAACCCTATAATAACCGCTCATAACTCATAAAATATAATGTGCTATATAAAGACAGCTTCCGCTTAAAATCCTACGAAATCCTAAACCAATACACTCCCCTTAGAAATTTTTCTAACTTAACATATAACTTGATTTTATTTATCATAAATATAAAATATAATTTAAATGTTAAAAATATTTATTTATTTAAATTTTAAGCTTAGATATGTTTTTATTCTTTAAAAAGTAAATTTATTTTTAATCATTTAAATTTAAAACTAATATTCATATATAATTTTCTGTAATTTTTAAAAATCTTATTTTAATTTTTTTACTCAAATTTAATTAAGAAATTTGTCAAATTTCACCGCATAAAATTTATCCAACAATACCACTGTTAGTAAAAAAAAATATTAAATACAATTGATATTTTATAATTATTTCAATCTATTACTTTTAAATATGTTATAAAAGACTTGAAGACTAAAACAAAATTTTAAAAATTTACATGAACTAAAAGTATAATTTTAAATTTAAAGGACTAAAAATAAATTTATTTTAAATTTAAAAGACTAAAATATACATATATATTCATATATAATATTTATTTATATACATAATTTATTATAAATTTTAACAATATATAATAAATATTTAGTTTATATGTTAGATGAATTAAAATATTAATTAATTGATAAAGATAAAAAAATAACATATCAAGACATACATATTAATTAATAAAGATCAAAAGATAACATATAAATGAATAAAGATGATAAAAAAAATTACATTTTCTTTAAAAAGATCAAAAGATAATAACATATTAATTAATAAACATCAAAAGACAACATAGATTTTGTTAGACTAATTATATATTGCTAATTTCTTTAAAAAATTAATAATAACTAATAAGGAGTTTAACTTAATTAATTAAATAGTGCGCGTAAATTATTATTAATAAAAAGATAATCCTAATCACATACTCCACTTATAGTAAAATATAAGCCATTTTTTTTCTTCATAAATTGTGAATTTAGATATAAATAAATTAAATTTTTTTAAAATTTTATTTAATAATATAATCTCTAAAATATTCTTTATTCAATTAAGATAATATTTTAAATGATATTTTTATATATTTGTGTATTATTTTAAAAAATTAAAGAGATAACAAACTTATTTATAATATGGTAAACGTTAAGAACACTTTTTTTCCAACATATTTTTATCAATTAAAATTTATAGAATTTGATTAATTTCATATTTATTGAATGAATTTCTTATATAATCGAGTATTTTTTTTTATTGTTATAACTAAAAAAAAAATGCAGAGAGAATGTAATAGAAAATATAAGAATATAGAAGTAGTAAAAAGTAAAAGAAGAAGAATCGGGGAAGACAAGGAAAGCCTAAAAGAGACACGCGAGTCTAAGTTGGCCGCGCGACCGCACAGAAGGCACGCGCCACGGGTTTCCATTGACCCAATAGGTGATCGCCACGTAAGCATAACGAAGGGAGCTTGAATAGCGTCCAGGTTCAATCCCACTTCCCTTTATAATGAAACCTTCATTCTCCTCCTTCTTCCTGAGGAAAACCAACACATTCTACGCTTAGATTAGAATTAGATTCCTTCCAATGGCTCTCGCCGTTACTACCACTTCTTCCTCTTCAGCATCCACTTCCTTCTTCTCGCGTCCAGGATCTTCCTCCGACGCAAATGGTGCTACGCTAATCCCCTTTCCTCATTTCAATTAACATCTCAATTTCTCGCTTTTTATTAACATTCCTCTCTGTTTCTCTTTTCAGCTCCGCAAATCGCTTCGTTTAGGTTTTCGGAGAGGTCCCATGTTTCGTCTGGTGTTGTTAATTTAACTCAGCGACGCTCCTCGGTGACGCCACTCAACGCCGAGCCTCAACGCCACGATTCTATCGTTCCTTTTGCAGCAACTATCGTTGCTCCTGGTACGTCTAATACATTCCCTTGGTTTCATGTATCTTTCTCTGTTAAAGCTTTTTTTTTTCATCCCTTCTAAATGGGGGTAAATCGAGCGTGTTCTGATGTTGTGGTGTGTGATTTGCAGAGGTGGCTGAGAATGCTGAGGAAGATTATGAGCAATTAGCGAAAGGTCTTGAAAATGCTTCTCCTCTTGAAATAATGGATAAGGCCCTGGAGAAATTTGGGAGCGACATCGCTATTGCCTTCAGGTAGATTCTTAGTTTTACGTTTTGATTTTTTGTTTGTGTCGGATTGGATTTGCTTGAGCATATGAGTATTTCTCGTGAATTATTTATTCCAACAAGCTTTGTCTTATTGTCCAGATTATTGGTGAGGTGAAAATTTTAAATGTACCGCAGGAGTTTCCCATAACTAATGTCACGTTCATAGCTTCTAGTAGAGGGTAACGTAGGCAAACATGAGACATGATTTCTAACTTGCTATTGGAGAGAGTAGCGATATATATATTATTGCATGCCTTTCTAATATTTTATAAATAAAGTATTAAATGAAAAATAAATACTTTTAACTTGATAAAAATATGTGAAAATATTACGATTACGAAGCAAGTAGGAAGATTAATAGGATAATGATATAAAAGAGGATTAAGAATTGTTCTATTGGAAAATGTATTTTTTTTAAATAAATTGTTAAATGTTTTCATGTGTTACTCATTGGAAAAACAAAACCAACATGCAATTTGCAGAATCGATATGAAGACAGGACATAAGTAAAATAGATCTATTGTTATCTAAAAGATCCATTAAATTGAAATGTAGCCGACAATTAAGTTTTGTTCCTTTTGTATTATGTTGTGTGACTCATTTGTTCTGCATGTGGGTATTTTTCATAAATACGTTTAGTTGTTAATTGTGTTTGAAAGGTTGGTACTTGAGTTTTGTCGCTCGCAAGTTGTTGCAAAGTATCTTTGTGTAAATGTTGTGCCACATTTCTATGCCTGTAGTGGGTATCTGTTAGTAAGTGCTAGATATCTGGATTTGGGTTTTAATGAGTAGTTTTTTCTTTGCAGTGGTGCTGAAGATGTTGCTTTAATTGAGTATGCCCATTTAACGGGTCGTCCCTACAGAGTTTTCAGCTTGGACACTGGGAGATTGAATCCAGAAACATACAAATTTTTTAACGAGGTTGAGAAGCATTATGGAATTCACATTGAGTACATGTTCCCTGATTCGATTGAGGTTCAAGCATTAGTAAGAACCAAGGGGCTCTTCTCGTTTTACGAGGATGGGCACCAAGAGTGCTGCAGGGTAAGGAAGGTGAGGCCATTGAGGAGAGCTCTTAAGGGTCTCAGGGCATGGATCACTGGACAGAGAAAGGACCAGTCTCCTGGTACTAGGTCTGAAATCCCTGTTGTACAGGTTGATCCTGTTTTTGAAGGAATGGATGGTGGAATTGGCAGCCTGGTGAAGTGGAACCCGGTTGCGAATGTTAACGGTCTAGACATATGGAACTTCCTTAGGACAATGGATGTGCCTGTGAATTCATTGCATTCCCAAGGATACGTTTCAATCGGATGTGAGCCGTGCACAAGGCCGGTTTTACCTGGACAACATGAAAGAGAAGGGAGGTGGTGGTGGGAGGATGCCAAAGCTAAGGAGTGTGGTCTTCACAAGGGTAATTTAAAACAGGAAGATGCTGCCACGGTTAATGGAAATGGAAATGGCTCTGCCGTTGTCACTGACATTTTCAACTCCCAGAATGTGATCAGCTTGAGCAGGACTGGAATTGAGAATTTGGCAAACCTGGAGAGCCGAAAAGAACCCTGGCTGGTTGTGCTCTATGCACCATGGTGCCGCTTCTGTCAGGTAAAACAACAATATACTGTTAAGGTTATGTCACTTAAGGTTCGTATGGTTTGAAAATTTTCATTCTCTAACAAGATGTTTGGTTTGGATTCTAACAGGCTATGGAGGAATCATATGTTGATTTGGCGGAGAAGTTAGCAGGGTCAGGAGTGAAGGTTGCAAAATTCAGAGCGGATGGAGAACAGAAAGAGTATGCAAAGACTGAACTGGGGTTGGGAAGCTTCCCCACAATACTTCTCTTCCCCAAACACTCTTCTCGACCAATTAAGTACCCTTCGGAAAAGAGAGATGTTGATTCTTTGATGGCATTCGTGAATGTATTAAGGTGATGGTCAATTGAGTATCGTGCTCAATGTTCCGTCGTACAATACGTGCAATACCGGCAATAAAATTTCTTCACAGATTTTGGCGATTAACTGAAAATGGGAATGACAGTTTTGATAGCAAAACGAAGATTCTCATCTAGTATCCTGTATAGTCTTAGATACGCTTTCCTCACAAGTATAATTCTTATGGTTATTGTAGTACTCATTTTGTGAGGGGGAATTTGATTTTCTGTTTTCTTAGAGGGTAGATTTATGGTTGAATTATGTTGTTTCTTCACTATAAGAATCAGTTTTATAGATTTGCCAAATTTCCTAGAATGAATGCCGAATAATAATAGACTGTGAAAGCTGGGCTTATGTTCTTATATTGTTTTAGCCAACTGGATCCAAAACCAATTTGGATTTGATCACTGCTTTCTTATTTTCTTGCTCTGCTCCGAGCATGTTATGGCATGTCTATTGAGTATTAGTGCAAATATTATTTCAGATATCCCAAGTTAGTGAGATATATTTCACATACAAGACTCGTTCGATTGAATGAATTACTCGTTACTGATATTTTTTATTTCTGAAAAGGGATACTAATGTTATTTTAGTTCAGGTTAACTTTTAAAATTAGTTTTAAAGAAATATTTAAAATTATAATTACAATTAATGTAAATTCATAAATAAATAATTTCAAGTTCTTACCGTACATGTAAGACTGTAAGATAAAGGGAGCAAAATACTAAAATACAAAAACACAACCGTTTTGAAAGAGAACGCAATTAAGATAAGTTATTATTTTTGAAAAGAAAAATACCTTTTTTCCCTCATGAAAATGATGTAAAATGTAAAAATTATTAATAATTTCAGAATTAAAAAAAAATCTTACATTTAGCTGGCTTCACCAAACTTGTAATTCCTTTTTTTTTTAAACTTTTTTTAAATATTTTTTTATAAATCACAAAAAATAAACAATTACCAAAGACTTTGTTGGTGTTGAAAGGATAAATATGAAAGTAAATTGGGATCAATTCACAAAATATTTATAATGATATTTTTAAATTAGGCTTTTATATAAATAAAATGATATAAAACATGTAATATATAATTATATTTACTAATATATATATATATGTTTAAACATATATAGTGACACATGTTTATAAAAAAAATTGACAAATAAATTTACCATAATAATACAAAAAATTGTGAATTATAAATTTAATTCATAGCACGGATAACCCACACTGGTAGTAAAACATAGAGGAAAGAAAATTTATTTTTTATAAAAATAATGAGGAAATAATTTATAAATCATTAATAAATGATAAGAAATGATAATTAAAATGAGATGTAATTCTACAAAACGACTTACCGTATTTTATGATCTTAAATTTATTTGCATTAATTACTTATTATAAGTTTAGAAATGGAAAATAAATTGTCCAAACCAATAAAGTGAATCCACATTATTCACTTTGGATTTAGATTTTTCTTAGTTCAATTCAATTTGCATTAATTCGATTGAATTTGATTTTGCTTTTTCTTCAAATTCCTTCTCTTATTTCATTAAAATTTGGTTAAGTTTTATTCTTTAAAGGATTTCTTTGCATACCACGCTAACTCTTCACCACTAAATTAATTCGTTTTCTATGGAATATTGTACCACATCTTAACATTTTATATGTTTTTGTAAAAAAAAGAGAAGATTTTATATGTTTTTATTATTTAAAAAATAATTAATTAAGAATGGAAGTAAGTCAACTAATCTCCTAGATGCATATCACTTGGCTTGCTTTTGGGCCTGATTTGACTTACAGTTACACCTATTTATTAATTTAGACAGGTTAATGGTTTTTTTTTAAAAAGAAAATGCCAATTTTGAGGAACGATTATGGCTAAAATTACACGTGCCACGTTTTCTTTCAAATCTCATTTTATATTTTTCTAATTTTTTTAATTATTTTTTTTAAATTGTCAAAGTTCCATGTTACCTTTCTAAATTTTATAAATTCTAAGATTTAGATGATTCAAAATGTTTTTAATAAATCAAATAAGTTGACTTATATTGTAATTAGTTTTTTTATATATTATTATTAAAACATGTTGAAGTTATACATGTGTGAATCTATTTAAAAGGTTTTACTAAAAAATTGGTTTTAAATTAAATTTTTGAAGAGAACCTTGTTAGAAGATTAAGTTAGTCCTTCAAAAAGTCATATGTTATGAAAAACGAAACCTGACTCGAGCATTATTTTTGAGAAATAGATCAAGTGTGATTATGGTGAATCTCACTCTACATGTTAGGAATTGAAAAAAAAAAAAATACTAAATGATACATTGGTGCTCTAATAGCACTGGTGCTTTGATAGTCTGTTATACATCGGGTTACCATTTTTTAAAAAAATGCACTCCCTCCATTATCTATTATTTTAAGTAAAAAAAGAATTAATTTTATGCATATTAAAAAATAATAATTATCTGTATTGAATTTTACTAATTTTATAATATTTTTAAAAAAATTTATCCTTGTTATAAATGTAAAAAAAAGAGTATTGCATTGAAAAATTATGCATTAAAAGAAAAATATTTTAAAGAGATATCATTAAATAAATTATAATTCAAATAATAAAAATTTACTGATATTTAAAAATATATATTTTTAATTTATAATAGAAAATTGAGAAAGTAGAATTAAGCATGTACATGATGGACATGGGACAAGAATGAAGCTATCTATCAAATGCTGGCCCAGTTACCGGGAACATAAAACTATGCACATTATTAGTTATTACATTGTCCAACATTACTCGTGGGTTATGGGACCCAAATTAATATTTACTCTAGTACAAAGTGCTACTTCTGGTTTGTGTGATTTACATAATGCAGACTACTTTCCCGCCTTCATTTCTTTGGATTCCCATTTCAGATGGCTGGACTATTGAACCCTTTTCAAAGAATATTCTATTTCTTCATTAACCAGCTTATTGATGTCCAAACAAAAACATTGCAAGAACCTTTTACTCAATTGATATATAATCATTATTTATGTCAATTTAAGGTCTGTCTTTTTTTGTCTCTTTTCCTGGTAAAGTTTTATTTTTTTCCTTAACTTTATCATAGGATTTTGAACACTTGCCGGTTTGCAGTTGAACAACCTCATCTGTGATGGTTCAACATTCTCCTCACGCTTTTCCAATCTATAAAAAAGAGAGTATCTTAGTGGGTATGAGTTGGTACATTTCAATATCCACCACTTTCTTTTCATTGCTCTTAACTCTGTTATCTAAGCAAACATAATGATTGTTATTCTTTAGCTAATTATTGCTATTGTCATTGAAATATAAAAGCTTCCAAATGTCAAATACACGGTGGTAAAGTTGGTAACCCAAGTTTACTTTTATGGGATCAAATAAGCAATCGATGATTGGCTATTCAAATATGTGACAATGGTGAAACACTGAAAGGATGATTTGAAACTTACTACAGTCCGATATTCAATAATGTGGTGTGCCACGGTAATTTGTGTTTCCATCCTATGCTTAATTATCAGCCTCATGATCGTTCTAGCTAATATTGTGATCAACATAGTTGTGTTTTTTATTAACATATTTTGAATGTATATCCTAAAAGTCCAAAGTAAGGGAAAATGTATATTTTAGAGAACTTTTTCAAAGGCACACACCTGAGAGGTGTTCAACTGGTAAATGCTCAAATGCTTTTCAGTCATAAAGTTGGGTTTCTTTAGGGAGAAATAGTATGAACAAGTTTTTCAATTAGCTAAGTATTGTGTATTATACAATTACCATATAGTAATATTCAAATCTCTTTATCAACTTTGTATCTGTTTTGAGAACGTGGTAGAGGTTCAAAGCATGAGAAGCTTTTTGGATGCATCGGTGAACAAGCAAAGCAACGTCTCTGTGCACAAGCCAGGCTGTCCTGTTGAAATTTAAGAATCATCTTTAAGTGTGTCACAACTCACAACATAATTTGTTAAAAGAAAGTAAAAAGCCATTGTCGTCCACCATTTTCTTTATTTTTCTCTTCTCCCTAAATTACGACCATGAAAGTCAAATTCCTTCACCAAGTTCAAGTCCAGTGAAATGTTTTTGTTTTCTCCCACTCATTTCATAATGAATTATTTATAAAAAAATGACATCAAAATATCTCCCACAGATATGTTATATATATATATATATTGTTATTAATTCTTTATTTATATATATTTTTGTGCAAAAATGAATGATTTAAGATCATATTTCTTTTTATTGTATATGAAATTGCTTATTTGCTTTTAATATATATTGTTGATAAATATTTTAAGTTATGATTGTAATAATCTTCTTGAGTGTGGTCAGTTAATTATAAACCAATTTCTTTTATGATTGTAATAAAAAAAATATCATTAAAATACTAAAAATGAAAACGTAATCAATCAATTCTAACAACATTAAAAATGAATTACAACTGAGGGAGCTCCGTCTTTTTGAAAGATTTATTACACGGAGATTTTCCGAAGAACCAAAAACAAATTAAATTTTACTCTGTTAATCTTTACATTATGATTAATAATCTTATACTTTTTAATCAATTATAGGTGTTTTAGAAAATTAATAAAATATAAATTAAAAAAATTTATATAGGAGAAACAATTAAAACAAGAAGAGTTTTGGATACATAGACACAAAGGTAATATTAACTTTATAAATAAACTAAATTTGTTTTTTTATTTATTATCTATTGTTCAAATATTTGGGGGTAAATTAATATAAAAAAATCCTTGATATATGGGTTGTTTTATTCAAACATTTAAACACAACGAACAATACATAACCTGTTCCAGTGGGAAAAAAGAAATTGAAATAGCGAAGTGATAAAAAAGTAAAACTAGTCAAACATAAAGAGACACAAGCATTAGTTGTTAAACAAGTGATAGAGAAGGCTTTAAAATTGTGTCTGCGTTTGCGATCACCGGAAGTGATGGAAGGATGGAAGATGAAAAGCGACGAGGCTGGTGAATCTCAAGTGAATCCCAATGACAATGCAAGTTGACTAACGACAACTGAATTGGAATTGGAACTAGAATTTCCAATGACAACCTCAAATCTCACCCTCTCCCTCTCACTCTCACTCCTCCTCCTCCTCCTCTTGGCCTTCACTGACCACGCCGCCACCACCACCTCCGCCCCCTTCGTGGGCGTCAACATTGGCACCGACGTCTCCACCCTCCTCCCCCCAGCCGCCCTCGTCAACTTCCTGAACCGCCAAAAGATAACCCACGTCCGCCTCTACGACGCCAACCCGGACCTCCTCGGCGCCCTCTCCGGCACCGGCATCTCGGTGACCATCTCCGTCCCCAACAACCAGCTCCTGGCCATCGCCTCCTCCAACGCCACCGCCTCCAACTGGATCCGCAAAAACGTGGCCGCCCGCCTCCCCGGCACCCGCATCACCGGCATCTCGGTGGGCGACGAGGTCCTGAGCAGCGTCCCCTCCTCGGCGCCCCTCCTCCTCCCCGCAATTGAGTCTCTCCACGGCGCCCTGGTGGCCTCCAATCTCCAGAAGCAGGTGGTGGTTTCCACCCCTCACTCCTTCTCCATAATCCTCAACTCTTTCCCTCCCTCCCAATCCTTCTTCAACCAAACCCTAGAACCCTTCCTCCTCCCTCTCCTCCGCTTCCTCTCCCAAACCAATTCCCCCTTAATGCTCAACCTCTACCCTTACTACGTCTTCATGCAAAACAAAAACCTCATCCCTCTCGACAATTCCCTCTTCAAACCCCTCTCTCCCTCCAACCACATGGTCGACCCCAACACTCTTCTCCACTACACCAACCTCCTCGACGCCATGATCGACGCCGCCTACTTCTCCATGAAGAACCTCAACGTCACCGACGTCCTCGTTCTCGTCACCGAAACCGGCTGGCCTTCCAAGGGGGACTCCAAGGAACCCTACGCCACACCTTCCAATGCTATCACCTATAATTCTAACCTCATTAAGCATGTTTTCGATCGCAGTGGCACCCCTTTGCACCCCGAAACCACTTCCTCTGTTTATATATATGAGCTTTTCAACGAGGATTTGAGGTCCCCGCCGCTGTCTGAGGCTAATTGGGGCTTGTTTTATGGGAATGCCACGCCGGCTTACTTGCTTCGTGTTTCCGGGGTTGGGGGTTTTCTGGCTAGTGATGATGCTAACCAGACTTATTGTGTTGCTGCTGATGGGGTTGATTCTAAGACTTTGCAGGCTGCGTTGGATTGGGCGTGTGGTGTGGGCAGGGCTAATTGTTCCGATATTCAACCTGGGGAGACTTGTTATCAGCCTAATAATGTTAGGAATCATGCTTCTTATGCTTTTGATAGCTATTACCAGACTCAGGGCAAGTCTCCCGGGTCTTGTGACTTCAAAGGGGTGGCTATGATCACAACGAGTGACCCCAGTAAGTGTTCACTCAAATCTCTAGTCTTTTTCTATTCAATTTGTTTATGTTAGGAATAACCTTGTGTCATCTATATAGCCTCGCCTAGTTGTTATAATGTGTTGGTTGCTACTGCTTACTGGGGTTTTATTGAGTGTATTGTGTATATGACATTAGATTTGGTTGGATTCTTGAGAGTGAAGCATCTGGTTATTACGGGCAGGGACGGAGCCAGGATTTCAATACTGGGGGGCCGAGAATAAATAATATATAATTTATAATAAATGAAAATTAAAGTATCAAAAACATATAAAAAAAAATATAAAAAAAAATTAAAATTGTTGGGGGGGCCGTGGCACCCGTAGGTCCCCCCTTGGCTCCGTCCTTGATTACGGGTTTAAAATCCTTCTTATTTTACCTGGTTAGATTGTTTTATGATGTTGGGGGAGAATCTGCGGTCTAAGGTGAAAAGAAGCCTTGTGAATTATGAGGATTTCTACTAACGATTGGAAAAGGGGGGAATTGGGACTGTGGCGAGGCAACGATTTCTGATATGAAAAGCAATTGTGCGTGGTACCCCACGTAATGCAATTGCAAATGCTCTTTGACTTGTCTCTACTTTTACGTGAAAGTTTTCAATTAAAAGGAGGGGACTTGAGATTGTAGTTCATTGTCGAACAGGGGAACCATGAACCCGCAATGATTGTGTCGTTTGGTTTAGGATTGGGATCAAGTTAGATAAAATGGATTTTGAAAAGGTTTAGAAACAAATTACATTGAAACGTGTTTTTCATTAGAAAGTGAGAAAATTAGTTCTCTATTGTCGAAACAAACGGGGTGTTAATAGGATGCTGGTCTGTCTGAGGCCTGTTTGGCTGTTTACCCTGACAATTGCAGAGATTCTGTTTCATGTTTCTGGATTATAGTATTCACTTTCTTGTTGTTTCAGTATACAATTTTCCGGCTTGCTAACCCAAAACCCAATTATGTCAAGTATACAATGCAAATATACTTTCTTTATATGTAGACATTGCATTTGGTAAAAAACAAATAGGCTCTACCATTTTGTATGTCTTTATCGTTGTTGCCTACTCCAGGTTTAAGTGTAACAATTGTGATTAATTCGTTTTTCTTTTTTACCACTCTTGTGGGGAATAATTTGCAGGTCACGGCAGATGTATATTTCCTGGAAAGTAAGAAAATTTGTCTGCTTAGTTGACCAGTTATTTTTCACTGTTTTCTGGATCTAACCCCCCAAAATTCAACTGCTTTACTTAAGTGTGTTCTCTTTCTGTTGATGCAGTAAGAATTTAAGCAACAAGACAAAGCAAGTGGTAAACACTACTGAATCAAGCAACGCAGGGGATAATTTAAGGTTCAGAACCTTTAGAAGCATCAAAATAAGTGCAATCAACATCATTTGGCACAATTACTTGGTTGCTGCTTTCCCCGTTTTGTTGTTATTCCTTTTGTGAGGTGCAAATAATTATTTTTAGTTCATTTTTTGAGGGGCGGGGGAGGATATGTAGGATTATTTTGTATTTCTTAGAGCAAAGAATTTCTGGATGACTTGCTGTTCTAAACTTAGTGCTTAAGATAGGTGCTTCCTTTCAAGAAAGTAAGAGAGGCGTGGGGGGTTCTTGTAATTAAATATGTATCTTGAATTATATTTGTAGTATATGAACATAAAAGAAATGAATATTCTCAAGTGAATATTTTATATGACATGGTCGTGTGAGGAGAGAGATATGCACAATGATCATAAAGAGGGCTGAGGGCTTACAAATTTTAATAACCCCGCTTGTTTAGGGTCTTTGTTTATATCTCTTGCACATGAAAAGATCTATTAGCCAATATAACGGGAATATTAACGTGACTCGTTAAGTTGGGGGAGGGCATTTTTTTTTCTTTCAATTTTGCTTATTGTTCACTGCGTCACTTTCTCCTTACATTTTCTAAGAAGAAAGATCCTAATCAAGTCAGCTTCCAAGTAAATTTAGAGTTGAGGCTGAGTGCGAGAGGGAGGGGGAATAGCCTGGGGCTGCAATTATTGATTGACTAAATCCAGAAAAATATGGAAAAAATTTATAATAGCAAAATCTTTAAGATATATTAAAAATTAAAAACTGTCAGCTTTTGAATTTGGTCAAATAGTGTCTGTGATCATTATGCCTAAAAAAAAATTTAGATGTATTTTTGTACTCTATTCTTACAGTGTCAATTAAGGTTTATGAAATAAAAATACACCAACTAAAAGTTCTTTATTATTATTATTATTATTATTCCATACTTCAACTAAAATTTAATAAATAACTTGTGACTAAAAAGTAAAAACAATATCACTTTAAGGATATTAAACAATAAAATATAAAAAATAGTTAATATATATAAAGTATTTAGCTTGGTAGATGACTCAACAACTCATAGATCCCAACCCATATAACTCTCAATTTAAACAAACTAAACTAAATAAATTAACATTTTAGTTAATTGTAAGTTCTAACATACTTAATTTGTCGGGCTAAATAGTAAATAGAACTTATGCGAGCCCAATTCTAAATACCAATATCTATTCAATACTTTATCTTAAATAAGATGTCTTCAATTTAAAAAAACAAATAAAATTATAAGTTGGTCCATTTTGCATAGGCAGTGGTTTTTTGGCTTGGCTTATGTATGAGCATTAAAAAGGCTGGGCTTATCTACGGAGCATTGGCAACGTAAAAGGCGTATAATAAAATTAAAATGCGGTGAGCGTGGATCGAACACGCGACCTTCAGATCTTCAGTCTGACGCTCTCCCAACTGAGCTATCCCCGCATGTTGACTTCTTGAAACTATTTAGAATAATCAACAATGTGCTATACATACCTTCTTTAAATCACCTTTATTACTTCTACATTAACTGCTTAAAATTGGATGCAGTTTAAGTCTCTTGCAGTTCTATTTGGTTCAGCAACGGAGTACACGAATTTGAGTGAGCTAGAGACAAAATATCCTTTATCTATATATGTGTGTACCGATTTTGTTACAAACTCTCACTCATTCCAACTTTCTTTGCTCTCACGTTAGTCGTTTCGTTACACAAGAATAATGAGAGTGAGACCTTGTAGTTACAGTTCTCTTATCAGTTGGCAATAAATCTTTGTTTAACAACAGATCGAAACTTAACTTTCATAATCAACGACATTGTCTTTAATTTTAACAAGTTCGTTGCTGGTGGGAAGGAGAAAATGTACTCACAATGACACTACGCAAAGCTCTTTCTTCTCTTGTTCTTGCAGTTACATTCCTTTGTACCAGAACTGTGAAAACCCATATAGATTCTTCACTCGACCTATGGTAACTTGGTAACATTCACCCTCTTGGTGTTAAACAACAAGTTTTTTTTTCTTTCTTTTTTCTTTTTTCCTTTATGCATCTTTTACTTGATACAAATTGAAAACTACCTTTCTTGTTTCCTTAAACTTTCGTGAGAGTTTGATCTCTTTTGGGAAACAAATGCATTCTCTTTTTCTTTTATGCCTGAACAAACTTATGGTCTCTTCATGTTCCCTTTTATTCTTGCCCGTTGTTTCTTTTCGATCTGTTGTTATAGAGACTGAATCAAATCCTAGATGATGGTCATAAATTTGTGATTGGAATGGAACCACTTTCACTGTTGAATATCAAGGCATGTTGCCAAATAACTTAAGATGGAAATTCACCTATTGCATCATTATTTTGAGTTTAATTTTCATGTGTTCCTGCCATGTCCTATTGTGGTCCCTAGCTATATATATGACCCTTCTCTTGTGAGACCCACTCTCTTTTCTATTTCCTTTTCCAAAAACTCAAGAACCATCACTCTCATTTTCTCTCTTCTCTTTGCTGGCTGTTGGTCTCAAATTTTCTCTGGATTCTCTGGTGTGTAGGTACTGACTAAGTTTTGAGGGGCTAGCTGATTCGTGTGGAGCCCTCTTTTTCCTCAAGCTCTCTCTTCTTCATTCCTTCTTCTCCGCTTCTCTTCCCGGAAACTCAAATTTTTGCCCGAGGTAAGGGAAGCTAGTGATTTTACTTCGTTTAGCTAGGACTGAGTGTGTATAATCGGTTTTTCTGTTGAACGATTGCTGGTTCTGAGTAGAGGTGGCTGAGAAATGAAATTTTGGGGTTTTTCGGAGCTTGGAGAAAAATTTGGGGATCTACTTATTTTGTTGTTGCATGTGTGTAAAGGTGGTATTTTTGGATTATTGGATGAAAATGTGATAAGTTAAACCGATTGCATGTGGAGTTTTCTGGTTATTTTGCAGGTTTTTGAGGAGATTTTCGAAAGTCTGAGTTTGCTGTTGAATTCGCGCTGGGCGTAGTTCTTCGCGCCGGGCGCGTGGCCACCTGAGGGCAGTATTTAGGCAAGCCGCCGGGCGCAAAGATGTGTGCGCCGGGCGTGCTTGAATGGTTTTGAGTTTCTGGCTTGGCGCTGAGCGCGATTTTGGCCGCGCCGGGCGCGGAGGGTTCCTTGGAGTCTCTTCCAAGGGAGATGCCGGGCGCAATTTAGAATTGCGCTGGGCGCGAGACCAAGGGAGGTCTCTGCCTCTCCCACGCTAGGCGTGAGTTGGGCACGCCGGGCACGAGAGACTCCTTAGAGTCTCTTTCTGGCCTGCGCTAGGCGCAATTATTTATTGCGCCAAGCGCGTAAGAGAGTTGGGCTCTCTGGTTGAGTTCCGCCGGACGCGGGCATACTTGCGCCGGGCGCTCTGGCCCTGGTGTCCTTTTTTGTTGAACTGCGCTGGGCGTAACTCTGAGTGCGCCGGGTGCATAGATGATAATTCATTATGTACCGAGTTGAATTAGAATGGATGAATATGGTGTGTTGATGAGTAAATAATATTGCTGTTGATGTTGAGTTGCATTAGTTGTATTTTAATTGAAAGTTGATATGTTGAGTTGTATTAGTGGTGCGTTGTTGAAAGTCGATATGTTGAGTTGTACATTTATGATGAAATGTGTGATGATATTGGATGATGTAGGCCGCAAGGCTGAGGTGTTGTAGGCCGAAAGGCTGAGGTGTTGTAGGTCGAAAGGCTGAGGTGTTGTAGGCCGAAATGCTGAGGTGTTGTAGGCCGAAAGGCTGAAGTGTGTAGGCCGAAAGGCTGAGTTGTGGTAGGAGATCTCCGAGGTGATATGCGTGACGACGCATTGTGTGTATTGATGATTCGTGTTGTAAAACCGACAGGATGTTTATTGGTGAATCGTGGATGATTGTAATTGTTGTTATCGCTTAAAATTTCCTTATATGTTGTTCTTTATATGCTAGCTTACCCTTTTTGTTGTTTCCATGTGGTTGGACTGCAATGATCATACTATGTATGGGAGCAGAGCAGGGATAGGTGGTGCATCTGTAGCTGGTTAGTGGAGCTGACTCCTTCTGGTGTTTTGTTTGTTTTAGTCACTTGGCATAGTGGCTTTTGATGTAAACCTTGTATCGTACGCCCTAACTCTAGTCAGACTCGGGACATTTGTATATACTTATATTCTAGACTCTATATTTATATACTTGTTTTATTCTGTCTAGTGTTTTTGGTGTGTTATGGTTGTGGAAGTAGTGGCCAGCCGGGTCGTTACATCTCTTCCTTAATCAATACCTTTATTTTCAATAAACTAGCTATGTCTTTGTTTAACAAAATTAATTACTAAGTTAAAATGCAAAAAATGGTTGGAAGTTAAAAAAAAAACAGTTAGAATTAGTTAAATTAAAGCTTAATTAAGTTATCATAATAAATTAAATGTATTTGATTAATTGTTAAACTAGTTAATATATATAAATGTAAAATTGCATAAAACATGTTTATATATTTTTATTTTTATTAAACAAATATTTATGGATAATTATAATTTAGAGTTTTTAAGTTATTTTTCAACTCTTTTTATTTTTTAATATTTATTAAATTTAAAAATAGCTAATTGGTAGAATAATAATTTAAGTAACATGTCCAATATATTAAAGAAAGGATTTTATTAATTAGTATAATTGTGTAATATCAAAGAAAGCAATAAATAAGGAATTATTAAAGGTAATAAAAATATATAGAAGGAAAAAAAGCTATAAGATTAAACATTATTTTAGTGTGTAATTTGTTTTAGAAGTTACAAGATCATAAATTCATTTATCAAACATTGATAGTTTATTCCAAAAAAAAATTATCAACTAGTTATAAGTTAAACTAGAAGCAAATATAGTTTTTCTTCTTAATTTTCAGAATAGCATGTAGTAATTCCATTCTTTTAACTTTTATGACATATACTTTGTCTAATAAAAATAATTATACACAAATAAATCTAATTTGTAATTTATAACTCCTAACTTTTTAGCTGTTAATAGTTTTGGACTTTTAGCTAATTTTTCGGCTAATTATGTGTAACATATATAGACTGTAACAGATGCAGATATTTTAAGTAGTAGGAATATATATATATATATATA